AATCGCTCCAGCTCTGTGGCATACTCCTGTACAGTCCTCTCTCCCTGGACTGTAGCGTTGATCTCCTTCTAGATCTGGAATACCCTTAGGTTATTTTCCACCCCATCGTAGGTCCTCCCCAGCTTCTCCCAGACATCATGCACTCTCCCAAGGCCATCCACTGTGGCAGCAATTGGTTGGACTACAGAATTCAGAAGCCAGATGTACACCAACATATGAGTGGACTTCCACTCATCTCTCCCTGCTGAGTCCTCAGACGGCTCAGTTTTCTCCCCTGTCAGGTATCCCTCTAGGATCCTCCCAGGGTATATTTCACCCGGCGCGACCAACTCAGATATGTCGCGGGTCCATCAAGTTTTACATCGATAGGTGGAAGCTCCACCTTCTTGGGTTGTGGCTTTGTCGAGTTCTCTCCTGCCGACAACTTCATCAGTTGCATCAGTGTTGAGATCTCCTCAGGATTCAACTTCTTGATGATCCCTTCCGTCAGATTTTTGCCAGTCTCCGTCATTGATCCAACTTGTATTCTTGTGTGCAGTGAAAAATTTCGGCAGCACTTCGACAGCACCACAAGAGAGATAGATCAACAAGAGTTCCTGTTTCACCAAGGAAACAAGAACTAGAAGCGGAATATCTCAACCAAGTGAGAAATCGGCTCTTCCTCTCATCAGTTCTAGGACTGACTTGTCGAGGGAACCTAAACAATCTATTACAACTTTAAATATTGTTATTTTCACTTCAACAACCCATTACTGCACAAAACTAAACCCCCTCTCGTTCTCTTACAGAAAGCACAATTATCCACACTGACCTTCAGATCACAACACAACTACTTAATTTTCTAATAAAGAAAACTCCTTTAAAAGAAAAACAAACCGGATCAATTCCTCACGGACGAGCTGAACGAGGATCCCATAGCAGACGTCCCCTCTCCTCTCTGTTCTTGGCCAGCATTCATCGAGAGCTAGGATTTTCGCAGCGGCTTCGTCAGGTCGGGGCTTCGTCAGGTCGTCAACTTCGTCAAGTCCACAACAGCTTCATCGAGAGCTAGGGCTTCAGCGGCTTCGTCGTCCAGAAGCGGAAGCTGTCGACGTTGATCAGTCTGGTCGCAGAGATCGTCGCGTTGATCAGTCGGTCGTCGTCGCAGAGATGAAGAGGCGGAGCGCGGAGATCGAGCGGTCGTCAAGATCAGTCGGTCTTCGTTGCAGCGGTCGATCTATGGGTTGGAGAGGCGGCTAGGTTTTTTTTTAGCTCTGATACCATGTAAAATAATTAGGGTTAAAAGTCTCTTCTATTGATAGAATAGATTGGCTTATATAGCCTTACACACATTTACCTAAAGACCCCTCTAATATCCCTCAATTACATTAACTTCTCAACAAATGGGAATGGACACTTGAGTGGGAAAAGATAGGCCCTCCTAAAGGGGTTAAAGGGTAAAAAAAAAATCCTTAAGAGGTTTAGTGTAATTAGAGAAGTTCAGATGGTCATGCGCAAAACCCCTCTACGCTCTTGAAATCAAATTATAGTTAGGGGGTTATCCGCAGAAAGCCCGAAAGTATCATGACCCTAACCTTTCACCCACTACGCACATTCTTCATCCCGTCCTCATCCTCAACCTCCAGTCCTACTAAAACCAAAGTATGTCCTCCTCCTACGACCGCCTCTCCGAGATCAGAGCCTTCGACGAGACCGAAGCAGGCGTCAAAGGCCTTGTCGATGCAGGCGTCACAACCATCCCTCGCTTCTTCTATGACTCCATCAGCGACAAAACTACCAATCCAAACTCACAGATTTCAATCCCCATAATAGACTTACAGTCCAAAGAACTTGATATCATCGACGAGGTCAAGAAGGCAGCAGAGACATTCGGGTTCTTTCAGGTGGTTAACCACGGAGTACCGCAAGAAGTGATGGAGGGGATGATAGAGGGAGGGAAGAGGTTCCATGAGGAGGAGAATGAAGTGAAGAGGATGTATTACACCAGAGATTTGAGTAAGTTTAAGGTGACGTATAATAGTAACTTTGATCTTTACCACGCGCCTGCGGCGAATTGGAGAGATACCTTGTCCTGTATTATAGCACCTGATGGTCCTGCACCGGATGAACTGCCGCTTGCCTGCAGGTAATTATGGAATCAAACTTCAGTTATTTTCGATGTTGAAGTATATAGATGTTGAAAATGAAATGATGTATGATGTGTTGATAGAAAGGGAGTAACATGACAAATTGTATGTACGACCATGAAATTGACGAATCATGGGATCTTATTGTCTGAACAGGATGCCTTGGATTTGATTTCTGGAAGAAGAATAAGAACTTATCATAAGTAATTCTAGCAGAATTTTTTTTCACCTTTTTTTTTTCTTGCATTTGAGAAAAGATTGAAGCCTGAGATTTATTGATAGTAAAACATAACTAGTATTTTACCGAATGAGAGTATATAGAGATGGAGAGGTGAGAATAAACTAGAAATTTGCATAAGACTAATCAACCGCAACTCCACTAAATAAGGTGATGTGCTCTACCTCATGTCTTCTTCAGTCTTGACTTTTTGAGTAAAAACACGATCACGAAATAAGGCACTGAAGAAGACATCTCCGAAGAACATAGTAATCAAGTAAGAGGCATGCAACATTCATGATCAATTGACAGCCAAACTGAATCACATTCCTGGTGCTATTACTTTTAGGCTATTAGCTACTGCCAGCCAAATTGCAGGCTGCTTGTAGAAAATTTGATTTGCAAAAGATCATTTTTTTTTTGACTATCAACTAAAATGGAAGAAAGAGGAGCACAAAAATGAACAAAGCAACTAGTGTGTTCTTGTACACAGTTTGCATAGATTCAAATTAACATCTTTGATTTAGTACAGAAAAACAAATAAATATATAAAAGCATTTCCAATCAAAATTGAATTTACGATGCATCTTTCCAGTTTTTTTTATCAGTCACACGAATGTCTTCACTTACTATGCATGCCTCATTTACATTCACATGTAGGCAAATAACCTTCAAATACACACAACATATCCAAAAACTGGGCAAAATTTTGTTTGAGTTAATATCGGAGGCATTGGGGCTAAAGCGAGACTATTTGAAACAAATTGAATGTGCTAGAGGTCTTGTCCATGCAGTCCATTATTACCCACCGTGCCCAGAACCACATCTAACTCTGGGAGTCAGCAAGCATTCTGATCCAAGCTTTTTAACTGTTGTTCTACAAGACCACATAGGTGGTCTGCAAGTGCTGCATCAAGACCAGTGGGTTGATGTATCTCCAGTGCCTGGAGCTCTGCTTGTCAATGTCGGCGATCTGTTACAGGTACCTATCGTTTATCATATCAAAAACAAGATAGACTTTTGTTCTTTACGTGCATATGTATTTCGAAAATAATGATGAGTGTTTGACGAAATTATTTCAAATATAAGAAAATAATATCTCTCATTATATCAAAATTTAGGATTCAAACTACAAAAATGAAATCAAAGTGACAAGATATCAAAAATACTTCAAGAGTAAAATACAAAAAACAGAAGTCCAAATGGAGAGTGATTAAAACATAAATCACCATCCAGTGCCCCTTAAATCAACTTCATTGAACCTGCAATGTTTGTTCCTTTTGAATAACATTTGTTACTTTGATAAAAACATTTTTTGGGATGCTTCTTAGAGTTTAGCAGTATATTTTAGAATCTCAGCATGGGAAAATTGAGCTTTTTATGCTATTTCAAGATGATAGGTAGAAACCCAATTATTAATATATTGCATATGATGCTTTTAGGAAGTTCATAATTTGTATTTGTTGTGCATAATGTCTCAAATACCCACCAGTCCAAGAGCAAATAAAACAGTGCTGATAGGCTAACAGGTGCGAAATTACCTAGTCAGATCACTATGAAATGAATTCATAGATAAAAACATTGTTATTATCATGTACTCTCGTCAAAATTCATCAACTTTACTTTAATTGTAATTTTATTATTGACCAATTTGCAGCTGGTCTCTAATGACAAGTTCAAAAGCGCTGAGCATAGAGTACTTGCTAACGAGGTTGGGCCTAGAATTTCAGTTGCATCCTTTTTTACTACATTTTTATCCTCCTCTTCAAGGCTCTATGGCCCTATAAAGGAGTTTTTATCAGCCGAAAATCCTCCTCTATATCGAGAGACTACAGTGAAAGAGTTTGCCACACAATACTACTCCAAAGGATTGGATGGACAGTCAGCATTGACCTATTTCAAATTATGATTACCCTTTATTTGTGCATATATATGTGGTGTATGCAAATAAAGATATACTATTTTACCTGGGTTGGTTGAATGTAAGCAAACTTTATAGCTGGAGTAATGGATGGATGTTGAGATGACTGAATATCTACCTATATGTGTGAGCCCTAAATTTACCGAATCTTTGTCAAGTTAAGAACTCATGCCACGTTGATGCTAAAGAAATGGAAAAAATAAAACCTAAAACAATGCTACTTCATCGTGATTGCTTCAGTTGGATGGTGTCTTTTGCATAAAAGTAAAATGAAAGTGTGAAAATGACCCGCTTTCAGCAGCACTTACATGTGTTTGTAGAAATGAAAATGACCCGCTTTCAGCAGCACTTACATGTGCTTGTTGAAATGAAAATGTCTGTGAATTGAAATATATCATTCTATTTTCTCTTATTTGATCTTCTACCCATTTCTATTCACTCTAAAATTTACTGGAATTACTCATAACTCTATCGTTCTAATGTCTTTTTGTTTTGTTGTTGAACTCATGAACACAGATACATCTTTAATAGTCTTGTTCAGATACATAAGGTGATGCTTCACTTTCAACTAGTTAAGTTTCTTCCTTCACGGCATCAGGCATCATTGTAATAATTGGTTGTTCCTTTAGATCGAGGGGGGATATCTCATCTCATATTGATGTCAAGTATGTTTGTTTTCGACAAGTATGTTTGTTTTCGACAGGATTTTTAGATTTTTCTCATGATGATGGGTTGGACTTTATGTCTAAAAATAGCTTAATTCTATTATTTAATTGACTTCCTTCAATCCTTGGATACAATATATGAGAGAATTAATAAGTACTACTTTCATATAGAAGTCTGCTCATCGATCGTGTTTTGTGATTCCCCCCTCTTATTTCAAGTAGGATTTATTTATTTTTAACCTTATATCTGGTACAACTTTGCTCACTATTACTCTAAATATATTCTTACACGCCCATAAAATCAAATCAAAGATTACATTCATCCAGTCTATATCCATGTAGAGAAGTAAAATTTTATTCCGATACATCATACATTTTCAAATCAAGTTTAATTATAATTTGAAATAGTTCAATGCTGATTGCCCATCCAATCCTTTTGAGTTGTAGTGCATGACAAACTCCTTCACCGTGATCTCTCGATATATAGGAGGACTCTCTGCAGATAACAACTCCTTGATAGGGCCATAGATCCTTGAAGAGGGAGAGAGGTGTGTAGTGAAGAAAGATGCTACTGAAATTCTGGGGCCAGCTTTGTTAGCAAGTACTCTATGCTCAACACTTTTTAACTTGTCATTAGAAACCAGCTGCAAATTGATCAATGTTATAGATAAGATCGAGTTGAGGAATCTAGCGGAAGTAACAACGATACTTTAAAATGACTTTGTCCATGTATTCATGCATGCATATCCATTTCATGGTGATCTGGTTTAAGTATTGCTGCAGCTGTGAGATGCCTAACGTAAAAATGTTCATTTTTTAGACTGACATTTATTTGAGACATTATGTATGACATGTAGAGCATCCAACTTCCTAATGTTGGACCCATGAACTTCCTGATTTTGGAACTTCCTAAAAATTTCGGTTTGGGCTTTTGTTTGTCTTTTAAGTTATGATGATTCTTTTGAGTCAATTTGTGTCCAACTAGATTCACCGAGTCTATCTTTATTCCTAGGTGATTTCGACCCAAAATTTGTTTTCATCTTTCAAACTGAGTTTTTTTTACTACCTTTTGTTTTGCTTTTTGTTTTTTTTTTTTTTCTTTTTGGTGGATATGGATACTCGTTCAATCTAGAGTAGGAATACTTGTTCATAACTTTCAACTTGGAAAATTTTGTTGGCGTTCCTATAGTTTATATCCTTACATTTGCTAGGTTTGGGGCCCTGCTTATTTCCTTGTACCTGATTTGTTTTGTTAAACAGTAAAAATGAAATGCGTGTAAAACACAAACTTAGCATGGCTTGGGTATGATATGTTGAGTTATTTAGATATATTAAGTTAATTAGTTAATATTATAAGGGCTTATTTGTAAAAATGCAGTAATATAAAAAGGGTATCTCTCAGCGAGAGAACCAACCATAATTTTTCCCCAAAAACAACATGGTATCAGAGCCATGTGGCGGCTCCTCTAGCGATACTCTCCGCTGGTGAAGGTCGCTATTTTCTCATTCTCAAAGTTGGGATCTTTAGCATCCAAAGCTCCCTCATCAGCGCCTGTGTCCTTCACTCTGACCGCAGCCTGCAAAGCCGGAGACCGCCGCCTGCAGGGCCGGAGACACCGGACTCTGCTGTTGGCGCC